ATCAAACCTTCGGATGACAGCCCTGCCAGTCCCTGTTTGTAGCCCCTTGCTCGCATACATGGCACTACAAGTGCATCCGATCATTGCTGTCGTCGCCATCTTATCCTCAGTTCATATGCCCTAACTGCCGTGCCGCTGCCGATCTTGAGGCTGAAGTTGACGATCCGGAGGATTGGGAGCAACTGGAGGCTGACGAACAGATGGAAGACGCCGTATACGTTCAAGATGAAAGTCAAGCCAGCTCCAACGACGCCCAAGCTCGACCGGCAGCGGTTACGTCGAGTCACCAACACGAAACAGACGCTAGCGGTGACGTAACGATGCTGTATTCGAACCCGCAACAGTCCGCTGTATCTAATCCTTTCGACGGGACTAGCCGCCCCGTGGTCTCGCATAACTCAACGTCGCAGCCAGTGCCCATTCGGCAGAACCCAGCTGCAGTCAATGGTCAAGCAGGTGAAGGTTTTCGAGATGCCGCCAGAACTCCGTCGCCCACTGGAATCGTTCACGCGGTTAGCACTCACGAGGGTCCGATCACACCACGTAACGACGTTGGGCCTTGGGTCTTTGATGGTGGCAGCACCACACGCACGCGAGCCAACGGAGAACCCGACAATGCTTCGAGACTAGCCAGTCTCGAAGCCGCAGTCGCAGGTGCTCACATCACTGGGGCCACTGGGAGTACATAGCCTCTGTTCTTGTCCCCGGCGATTTTAGTGTACATCAGCCCCCTTTTGCTTGGGCTTGTACAGCCTACGGTCCACTGTCTACGATCAACTCATCAGCCATCCAGCAGGCTATACACGACAGGCCCCCTATTGCATCGGCTAGTACGGTGGTCTAATGTCTGCGGTCTACAGACAGCTCAGCTATTCAGCAGGTGACATACGATGACACTCTGCTTAGCGTTCACTGCAGGGGGCGTTATTTTGTCTTCACCATCTCTCCTTCATCGGTCTTGGTGGAGTGATTTTCTTTATACTATATGCTGTTGGTTGCGTCACTGTCGATAAGGATCATGGACGCTGGCATCCGAAGGAGTTTGGAGGTCTTTGTTGACTTGGAGAGGCAAAGGAAGAAGTATTTGCAGGTTTCAGCTTGAGGCACATACGATACGGGACATTTGTCAGAAGCAAGAAGTATAAACAATTGTCCGGCTGCTCGATCTCTCTGCTCTGAACCTTGCAAGAGGAAAAGGCCAGAGCACAACAGCTAAACAGGCCAGGCAGCAGAGAGGCAACGTTGTTGAGTGGTCAAGTGAGAGTCAGAGGAAGAAACGATTCCATATTTTGTTGTTGAGTGGTGGGAGGATGGTTGATAGTATGTAGACAGCGTCATCACCGTTTGTGTCTTGAGGAGTTTGTTGTGGGGAAAAGGAAGGCTCGATTCATTTTCTCGAATAGTACGAATCACGGGTTAGGCTGGCATTGTTGATTTCTGTCAGATCTACACAGCGATATTAACCATGGCGAAATAATGGGGCATAGCGATACCAGTTTACTTGGCGCTAGATAATATACGTGTTGAAGTCTTGTTAACTTGAGTTTCAGATGGATTTTAATACTACGCTTAAGATTGAGCCTCACGTCGACGAGTGACATAGACGAAATAGAGGAAGATCTTCCTTCTACTCTCTTACCACGAAGCTGCCTCGTCCAAAAGCCATACCACTTCACTTGTATTCGATTCATAGAGAGGGGGAACAAACGACCGAAAACCACAAATGCCTGACCTAATTCATAACCCCCATACCCTTCCATCAGCCAACTTTTCCCCCCGCCCCATCATCTCCTAAAAACGCTCTGCCCCAACCGTTCAATCTCTCTCCCCTCCTGCGTGCCCTTACCCGCCTCTTCCAGTAACCTCGCCCAAGCTTCCGCATCCTTGAATTTCACCGCCTCCTCAGCGGCCTTGACCCGCATCCCGCACTTCTCGTACATGCCAATCGTCGCGCCCGGTTCCAGTCCACCAGAGGCCGCACACTTGGGGATGAAAGTCGCCGCCAGTCGCTGGTTGCCCGCCTGCAGCACTTGGGTGTAGAAAGGTTCCCAACCAATGGGTGACTTGCGGTTTTTGGAGGCGAGGTCTTCGATTTCGGACCAGTCGCGTTTGGACACTAGGGCTTGGAGGCTGCGTGCGATTGGTAGGTTCTAGTTAGTGATGGGTGAAAAAGAAGTAAAGTAAAGGGGAAAGGAGAGGAACATGATGGGCAAGTGAAGGAGACAAAAAAAACATACCGAATCCACCCAGCAACCTTCTCAGTAACCTTGAACTCGCTCTGCACCTTCTTTGCCCTTCCATGGTACCCCAGTCTAATCAGCTTGAACACAGTCTGATTAACTGACAAACCCGTGAACGTCTCCGGGTGCAGATCACGATCAAACGCCTCCTGCATCCTCAGCAGCGTCGTCGCCTCTTTGAGCGCCGAAAGCTCAAACGCGTTCTCCTTGGCATTGTCAGATAGCAACTTGGCTGCTAGCGCTAGCTTGTCCGCTGCTGTTCGGGCTTCTGGCTGGCGTAAAGCTTCGCGCACAAAGACGTCGGAGCCATCGACGCGTCGGTCGTCTTGGTAGTAGAGGTCCTTTAACAAAGCTGTATCTTCGCAAGTGGTAGTGCTGCCGCTTCCGCTTTGGTTGTAGTTATGGCTGGCAGCGTGTTGACCTTCATCAACGTTACCGAGGACCACGCCGCCACCGAGACGCGCCGACGCCTCCACCAGCGCCGTGGCCGTCGGCCGGCTGCTGATGACCCGGAAAAAGGTGGCCAAAGGCAGCTTGCGCTTGAGCTGGTGCAGCACAAAGTAGACGAGGTCGGTGTCGCCGGACTCGATGGCCTTGTCGAGCGCGACTTCGTCTTCTTCCATGCTGAGTAGCAGCGGTACCTGTCGGCCTGCGCGCGGTTCATGGTTGAGCAGTTCGGTCGCTAGACGGCCACGGCCTTCGTCGTAGGCCGCCCGAGCGATGGCTTCGAAGGAGATACCCGGTTTGCCTGAGAGCTTATCGACGATCTTGCGACAAATGGTATCGTCGTCTTCGGCGCCGACGCGCACTTTGGCCGAGGCCCAGTGCACGTAGATCTTGTCGGTGGGGAGGCGGAGGTAGCCAGCGATCTTGAGGGCGAGGAGGTATTCGCGGCGGTTAAGCAGACGGGCGATTAAGCCCGAAGGAGAGAGGCGCTGGTATTGCTCGTAGGATAGGGGAAGGCCGATCTCGAAGAAGCGCACGGCGTTGAGCACGCGAAGGGTCTCGCACATGTCGACGAAATCGTCACTGTTGTAAATATCGAGGACAGACTTGCCGAAGGAGGCGGCCTTCAGCAGCTGTTTTTGCCAGTGGATGCTGAATTCCTGGCCGGCGGCGTTGACACACGTGTCGACGGCTTCGACGAGGTTGGACCGGATGAGCTGAATGTTATCGTCGGCTTTGGGTGACTGCATCTCGAGCTGTTCGACCGCGTCTAGCAAGATGGACGCGGGCGAGTCGGTGCCCAGACGGAAGACTTCCTCGATGACATCGGGAACCTTTTGCAGGAAATCGCAGGTGTCGTTGGCGAGAACGCGCACGCCGTCGAAGTCGGGGAGGATATGGATTCGGCCATTGTCGTAGTAGAACCTGGCTAATGAACCCCCGGGCCCGACGAGCCGAACTTCATCCTCCCAGGCAATGACGACGGCATCGTTACCGCACCATTCGAAGTATTGTGGTGGGATCTTGGATTTGGAAACGTACTCGCTCAGACGAGTCTGGAAGTCGCTGCTGATGACGTGAGCCTTGCCAGTTTTTGTGTACAAGGCAACGAACTTGCCATTTGGCGAAATGCTGATGTGTGAAAAGGGCCCAATATCGATGAAGCGGTCTTCGCATTCGCTGGCGTCAGAGACGTAGATTGTCTGGCCGATGCTCAGCAAGACCTCGACGGATCTCGACAGTGTGTAAGCAGGCGGAACGAGAGACCAGGAGTGGACCTGGCCTTCGGGAGGTTGTGCCAGGAGTTTGGGTCTCGGTTCATCATAAGCCGAGACTGATACGAGCGAGTTGTTGTTCAAGAGAGCAACAAGGCCGTGGCCGTAGAACTTGCATGACCGAACCCCAATCTCGTCGGCGTCGTGTCCAAGCGAAAACTGGGTGAAGTCGCCCTGGAGATCGTAGTAGCATCTCACGGTGCCGTCTCCCGTGACAACCAGAAGCTTCTCATCCTCGGACCAACCCAGGCCCTTGATAGACCCCTTGTCCCACGGAATGCGCCTGATGAGCTTCCCGGCACAGCTGTAGATGTCTATGCTCGGTTTGGAGGGCCTCCCTGCGGCGAAGGCTACTAGTTTCTCCTCATCTCGGTATAGAGCTGTGAGGGCAGTGTCAGAGCATGACCTTTCTGGAACACGTCATCATCGAGTGGGATCACAAGGAAAACAATACCAACAGCTCCGCCGTAGGGGGCACCAGCAACAATGTAGTTGTCAAGGTCTAGGTCCGCATCAAAAACTTGGGTGTACAGTTGGGTCTTGCGGTAAAACTTTTCGCCAACCTGTTCCCATCCTGCTGTTGGATGAGGGACCTCCATCATATCATCATGTTTGCATATTTGGGTGTGAGTTGAGAGTGATGAGAATGAGCATGAATGAGGTCTCTAGCAAGGTACGAGATTCCGCATGTGGGGGAGGTGTTGTCGTTCCCAACAGGCTGCAACAGCCCCCCCGGGCGGCTCAGGCTGCACTGCAGTGGGTGATACGCTAGCGGAGGTTCCTTGGATGACCTGGCAGGCGCACACGGTGGGATGCCATGGATGCCTCCCCCCTACTCTTCAACGAAGTTGTCGTTGATCAGGCCTTGCCCGTGGAGTCACCGTGTGGGGACCGTACCTACCGTACCCAGTCCCCTTGTCAAGCCCCACAAGCCCCTCCATCATGAGCTCCTCCTCAGGTGCGCTAAAGATAAAGTTCCCGGTCCGACCAGCGTCGCTACCTTATGTTTGCATCATCACCATCCTCCGGCACAGGAACGAATCATGCCGGTTAATTTGTACCATCTCCCAACTTTCCGGAGCCTTATTCTTCTGACTTCCCGCTTCTTGATTATCTGAGCCCAGCTTCCCAGTCATCTGCTACGGACCTTTTCTCCGCCGCAATCTAACAAAATGCCCGGCTGGCGCGACGAGTATCTTTCATCCCTCATGGATGCCGACCAGCGGAATCCCGTCAACCGAGAGCTTGTGGATACCTGTTAGTTGCTTGCCTCGGCCTTGCCCTCCTTCCTTGTCTTGTCTTCTTGTCTTGTCTTGCTTGCTTGCTTGAAGTCCCACCGCTCCCCTTTCATCCATTCCTCAAAACTTACCACCCAGCAAACATCATCCTGAACATGCAAGTACTCCAGGCCAGCAACTCTTCGACCGCATATCCGTACTCGAAGCCGAAAAGGCGGCCCTCGAACAGCAAGTCGAGACCTACCTATCATCCTCCTCGTCAAGTAGCGGCGCCACCAACAAGCCCCGAGACCGAGACACCACCAAGACCGATGCCGTCGCCCCTGACTCGACAACAACTGCGCCGACCGCCGCCGACTCTGCCCTTCTTGCCCGCCTCCGTGTCGATCTAGCCGAAGCCCTCCGCGCCAAGGGCGATTTCCAGCGGCGGTTGAATGTAGTCGAGGAGGAGCTCGTCCGCTTGCGCACGAAGACGACAGCGGACAACAAGACATTACAAACCTTGACGGCCGAGAGGAAGACGCTCACTATCAAACTCAGAGACCGGGAGGAGGAGCTGCGCGCCAAGAGCAAGATGCTGGCGGACGTCCAGGATGAATTGCAGGTGCTAAATACCCATCTGGATCTTGTCGAAAAGCGGCGCTCCGAGATGGAGGCGGAGAACAAGCAGCTTGTAGCCCGCTTCATGAAGCGGGTCGGGCAAGAGGCGGAGGCCATGAACATGGCGAATGATTCGACGTCGGGTTCCGGTCATCGGTCATCCGGTTCCAGGAGACGATAAAGGATGGAAAGCAAGGAATTTCAGGTTCGCGGATCCCAACAGCGAGGGAGAGCATCACACGGCGCGATGCACATATGAACAACAAGAGGAGGGCAAAGATGGCTGTCTGAGATCTTTGAAAAAGGTTCCATGATCCTTTTCAAGAACGCTGCCAGCACCCTGATCAAGGCAAAAGATACCAGAGGGAGATAGGCATATGGGTTACAATGCTTTGATCGGCACAGTGCGGGAGTTTCGGGTTGGGTATCTTTGGTAATGAGCTTCGCAGCCAGCGTAGTATGACTACACAGGGACTGTTATAAAAGGTATGTATGTACACGATATAAAAACCCGGTATCCTCTCCCTTTCCCTTTTTACACTTCCCATCCCTTTCCCTTCCACCTATTTTCCGCATACATACTGTGTATATCAATCAGTATGAAGAAACAAAGCGCATACAACGCGGATAACACAAGCTCGCTTTTCAGGCGCGCCATCCAGAAACCGCTATGCTAGAATAACAAGACACATCATAGGCGCATACTCTTGCAAATGTTTTGATCCAGATATCATCATCATGGTCCCAGGAGCCCTAAAGCAGGAAAGAGCTCGCTAACCTCCTCGTTTCCCCAACCCAGCGCAGCATTTACCCCCTGGCCGTTGCATCACCTCCGGGTCGAAATACAATATGTCCCGCTAGCGCCAGTCCAGCTGACATAGCCTTCAGGATACGTAAGGTGCTCGACATCTAGGATCGACGTGGCCACATCGTTCTCGGCGTTCTTGTTGTCGTGCACGAATGTCTTGAGCGAGATGATCTTGCATCCGATCTTCAGGTCCAGGAACATACTGACAAGGTTGTCATTAAGCTGCGACGTGAAGGCCTGGTTGTTGACGAGCACCACATCGGCCCGCTTAAGCACCTCGAGGATCTTCTCGTTCTTACGGAAGTCCCCTCTTTCCAGGCGTACCTTGCCGGGCTTGACCCCCCACAGCCGGCAGCGGGCCATGAACTCGTCATACTGCGCCTCGGCCAGGTTACACGCATTCTCCATCATCTCGCAGCCCCAGCTCTCGCACCCAATCTCGAGCGCTGCCTGAAGCGTCACGTTGCCGACACCCGAGCCGAGATCGACAAACACCTTGTCCGAGGTCAGGTTGGTCCGCTCGAGAATGTCGGAGATGAAAGGGTGGTTTAGTTCGCCGTAAACGTTGTCGCTGCCGTTTTGGTACTTGGCCAAGAGCTCGACCCGTGGGGCGACGGTGCGGTCGTATACTTGGTCGAGGATGAAATCCACCAGCTCGCGCGGTATCCCGTGCATCTTGTCGAGGTTTCGGACAATGACGCCCTTGTGCATGAGCTTGAGAAATTCGTCGTTGTATTCGCGGAGGGCGGCTTTGAAGCCGGGGCCGTCGGATCGGTTTTTGCTTTTGACGAGCTTTCGGAGGATGCCTGTTTGATGGTCAAGAAAAATCTTGCCCTCTTCGTCTGTGAGATAGGTCGAGGCGGCTAATTGTACTACTTTTTCGATGTCCTTGACGGCATCAATCTTATCTTTGCCCTCTACGAGTTCGTACCTATGATGCGCACACGTGCTGAGTTAGCTTCATGCTCTTTGAGGGGGGTAAATAAGAGGAACAGAATCGTAAAAGAGGACTACCCACCGTTCAGGATACCTGGCCCCAGGATACTGCAACCTCACAGCAACCTCCTCGTTCTTCAGCCCCAGCGCGGGCTTGCACTTGTGCTCCAGGCTCGCAACCTTGGCCGCATGTATAATTGCCGGGCCGGGTATCCGCTCCACCTGATCCGCATCCTCGCCCTTCCAGATCTTTGGGTGTCGCAACTTCCGGTTCACGTCAACGGGTCGCTCATCGTGTACCCGCTTGCGACGCTTGCGAGCGTCCAGGTTGTCCTCCCAGTTCTCGTCCCCGTTGCTGTCCGAATCCGAGTCTTCAGAAAAGTGCGGGCTGATGGGCGACCGGCTCGAGGCCTTGATTGCACGCCGCTTGCGGCTGCTCCGGCCGTCGCCGTTGATGGACGGGATGGGCGACGCGCTCTGTATCCGTCGTGCGGTTGGGATTGTGGTGACCTTGGTGAGGGAGGCGCGGGCGGAGGAGGAGGTAGAGGTGGTGTGGCTGGTTCCGTTGAGTCTGGGCGTGGAGGAGGCGCGCGACAGAGATGACCCCGCCCCCGCGATCCGGACGTTGGAGTGTTGTGAGGAACCGGTGGTGGGTATGCTCGAGGAGGACGTCGACGCTTTGAGTTTGGGACGCTCGACGGTCTCGCGGACGGTGCGGATCTCGGTCTTGATTTTGAACTTGGATTTTTGGTTGAAAATGCTCATGGCTCTTATCTTTTCCGCCTCCCGAGGTCGTCGTTCGTTCGCTTTGCGGGCCGGTGCTGATTCAGATTGACAGTATATGGGTTACTAATAACAAAATAAAGAGAGACAAGAAAGAGCGACGACGTATGACGACGAAGAGGGGCGTAAGGCGTAGAGAGAGAAACTAGTCGAGCTGTACGGAGTAGCTAAGTAGGTAAGGGTATCGATACGGCTTTTTTTTTGTTCTTGTGCTAAGGCAGCCGACGGAAGTGGGTTCAAAGATCGAGCTTCCGTTTCGTGGAGCAGGCTCAGCAGAGAAAAGGAAAGTATGGAACTGAATGGGGTCTCTTCGTTTCGGGAGGCCTGCGCCGAGAAAAGGCGCGGCGCGACGGAAAGGTGGACTCGCCCCGTTCTTAGTTCGGTGGGATTGTTCGGTGGGTATCCCGCCGCTGCGGAATCTCGTAAGCAGTGGAGGGAGAGTGGGTAGGGTGTTTTGGTGTCTGAGTACAACTCGCTCGCTACCTCTGTAGTTTGTTGTAGATAATATGTCCGGATAGTCGAAAGGCTGAAACATGCAATGGGCGCTCTGAACCAAATCTATTGGGTATATGGCATGGCAAGGCTGGAGGACGCGCAGAGATGTATCTTCCTGCAGGTGGTGATCCAAGTGAAGAAAAGGCAGAAAAAGTGGATAAGGCGACAGAACAAACAAAGAAAGATGAGGAAAGTCAAAATGCAGGCTTCGGTCCACCATGCCGGGCCTGCCACTTCTTCCGCTGTCGCTGCACAACGGAAACCCCAGGGGCAATGGACACTCACAGGCACTGCCTGCACCTGCACTCGCAGGAGAATTGCCTGGACTCCAAGATTCCCCAGGCGGGTGCGACGAGTGCGACCTTGCAACCCTGACCTTCCACTCGGCGTCCAATCCCGAGCCGCGCTGCTTGTTGGACACGACGTGAGGCGATTTGACAGCTGCAATATCTCGCCGCAGGGCATGGCCAATCCTGCAAACCACAGTCCGATGCTGGTTTGCTTGTTAGCTCGGTACACTAGGTAGGTATGTACGTCTGATTGTGTACACCAGACCAAATCTCTCCCAAATAGTCCTAAAGCATGTAAAGACAAGTCAAAAAGGCTGGTTATAAATTATAAAGGTCTTAATAGGAAATAAGATAATATACTAAATATCGGAAATGGCGTTTCCAAGGTAATAACACACGTTAGTTGGCTATGAAGACGCATAGGAAAGTTGACACGAGGTCTCGAGCTAACAACTGAAACAAACCAGTACCTACTGGACTGTCGGCTGCAGCAGCTGCTGCCAGTCATTCGCTTCCCTTTCTCCAGGCTTCCAGCTCTCCCTTGGCGCGCCGCTGGGTGGGTGGCGCGACGTCCACTTTTTTCAAATTCCCGGCCAGGGTCATGTGACTGTCTTGATCGAAGAGACTGCACGAACCGTTTTTGTTGTTCCCGTCATTCCGTTCACCGAGGTGAGATGTAGGTCCGGGTCCTTCCCGCAGCCCTCACCGACGGTGGACTGTTGTCCAGACCTCAGCGTCAAACCACTGTCTTCGAGTTCATATTAGTCAGGACGAGGATATACTGGGAAACGGTATAGGATATTGTATCCGATCGGTGACTTTGGTGATGTCCAATGCTAGTGCGTGATAGTAGTTGGTTCAAGAACAACCATAACATTTGCCTTTTCGTTTTTCTGTGCGGTTGGTGTCAGAATCCTGTTGTTAGTTCCTGGGTGATAAATTATACCTATAGATTCCCTTGCCGGGTGCGAAATGTGCAGTTCCTTAACTGCTTCACGATCGGTCGTGGACCCGGTAACCGGAGGATGAACGGATTTAAGCACCAAGAGTGACAGCTTGAGGTTTTTGGAACGCCTTACAGCCCAGCCCTATCAGCTGCGCTTGGGGCCATGTCCATCTTACCGATGGAAGCACTCGAATATCAGCCTTAGTGTACAAGTACAGTAGCCATAAAACCAAATTTGCTCACAGCCTCACAGTGTTCTTCCTACTCGTCATCACATGTGCACTCTTGCCAAGTAAAACAAAAACATAACGGGGGATCGATGATCACTATCAACAATCACAACCGTTCGTTGCCCATCCCATGTGTCGTGGCCGACAGCGGCCATTCGGGGTCGTCTTGGCAAATGTCATGCATCTAGTATCACAAAAACTGGCAACAGACGATGGGGGGTTCAAAGACATGATGCAAGGTGGCTTGGAGGTTCACCATTGTGTGGTGGTGAAGCTCAGTAATATTGGATTGCTTCAAGTTTTCCTGGGTCTCGGGCTTGTTTTGTTTCGTTTGATGATGCGCGTGAAGGTCCAATGGACGAGGTTGCATTGTGGCCCTATAGTGTCCAGACCGCGCCAGGCCTCGTACCCACAAGCCGACAGTCCCACATCTCGTGACGTCATGGACTGCGACTATCTCATGTGCTAAATTCCTGAACATAATCAAACTGAGGTTTGTAGCAGCGCACGGAATTGGCCCCCTTTTTGTGCTCGATATGAGCCATGCCCTATCGAGATCTTTCCTATTCGAAGTTACGTCAAGCAAACTTATAATATCTAGTATACTCTGTCACGAGTTGGGGAAACTGAAGCTTTGACGCGAGTGAGCCCAAGTTCTTCTTGATTAAAGAGGCCAATTGATGATGCTCAACATTTCACAAGTACATAGTGCGGCGGCCCACCGAGTGCTCCAGACGAGACAGAGGTGATCCTGACACCCACATGGTGCGAGACTCCATGCGGATATCAGGTAGCTCGCTCGGATTTGTTTCGTCTTTTACTGGAGGAAAGCGAAAGTGTGGACGTTGGTGGAGGATAAATGGGATCTGGGGATGGGGGGTGGAAGCCAGCTTAAGTGTTGCCCTGACTGTCCTGTTGAGGCAGAGCCGAGCATTGTATCACCAGGATGGCTGGCTACCGCAGAAGTAAACACAAACACAAGCGGGTGGCCTGATATCCTCGAGAGTGACAAAGACGGGAGGCATCTCATCTTGAGGCCGTCTGAACTGCCGTCTAATTAGCATGAGGGACTGATTCACACTGCCGACGTTGCGCAAGTGCTCCGTTTGTGTGCCTTTCGGTGCAGCCACGGGGTGTGCCAGCCCCCTCACCTGGAAGGTCTTTGTCTCAAAAAGAACCAGAGATTTCGAAAAGGGTTGATGTGACGCACATATTGAATCGTAGTGCATCTCGTCAACCATGCTTGGCTTGGTCTGTCACGTCTGCTTGGATGAAGTCGAGCTCATCCCCCCCTGGCCGCCCAATTGGCGTCAAGACCCGTCGATATCTCAACCGATCGTCACGGTTACTACCCGAGTCCCAACTTTTCCATGGAGTGTCCCTTGAGCTCCAAATCCTTGTCTGGCAGTAAACTCCGTGAAATGGGCAGAGTGGATAACCATCTAGCTTGTTTACTGTGTACTAGCCCTTCTGGGAAGTACATAGCAGATGTAAATGCGTGTTCCAAACAGGTAGAAAGTACTTGGGAGACTGGGCGAATTTGGCGAGCAAAAGTGGAAAGGAGGAAGTAGAAGTGAAGGCATGGCAGCGATTCCCTCCCCTCAGATCCCTTTTTTTCTCTTTTCCTTTTTTTTTTTTTTTTTATTTTTTTTTTTTTTTTTTTTTTTTTTTTTTGGAATTCCC